TTCTTTTTGTTGATGTGGCGGATAATGTTGATGGATTTTTGTATGTTGTACCATCCTTGCATCCCTAGAATAAATCCTACTTGATCATGGTGGATGTTCTTTTCAATCTATTTTTTGAATTCGGTTTGCTAATATTTTTTTGTTGAGTATTTTTGCATCTATGTTCATCAGGGATATTGGTCTGTAATTATCTTTTTTTCTGGTGCCTTTGCCTGGTTTTGGTATTAGAGTGATGCTGGCTTCATAGAATGAGTTTGGGAGTATTTCCTCCTCTTCCACTTTTTAGAAAACTTTAAGGGGTATGAGTGTTGTCTTCACTAAATGTTTGATTGCAGTGAATACTTATTAAACAGCCAAAGACACACATACACACACCCAAGAAGGTACCATGTATAAACAGCCAGAAAGATCCAATCCTGCTATGATCTAGTTGAAAGGAATTATTTATCCTTTAAAATAATGAATACACCTTGTAGAAATATTTTAGCTCAAATAATGTGGAAAAAAAGAAATGAATTTTTAGTTGCATATTAAGATAGCAGAAATTAAAGTAGGCAAAATATCTGAAAGTGCAACCAGTATACAAGCAGACAGATAATTTTTAATTTTCTATTGAAAACAGAGATATACAACCAAGATGGAAAAGGCTATTCATAAAATTATAAAATAAATATAATTTATGAAGCTAAAAAAATTAACAGCCAACAGACTTTGGGAGAATTTGTGTCCCCAGAGTATGAAAACATATTTTCAATTTAATTGATAATATTAATATGGGGATTCTTCACATATATCTCCATGGGTAGAAATGGCCATGAAATCTAATAAATGAGAAAATGATTACTGATAGATATTAATAGTTGAAAGCAATTGTATGTAAGCAAACAAAAAGATCCCTGAAAAACAGACTTCAAAAGACAGAAGAGGCCAAAAAAGATCATAGAATCACAGAATAGTAGGTTAGAAAGAACTTGAAAGTCCAACCATGCTTCTTAGGTATCTGGCATCTTTGAGGAAACAAACCATGGAACTGAGAACAGTCACAATGTGAAGAAATTTCATGGCAATATTGAAATGATACTTTTAGAAAAATAGAATTATGGGGAACATAAGAATAAAGAACAGAATATATTATTCCTACATAGAGCATTAAGCACTGCAGTACTCAGTCCCTTAGTCAGCAAGGATTTGTTGAATGCATTTGGGGCTACACCCTGGGGATACAATGAGAACCGGGAAATAAAGGGCTCAGAGCCCCACGACCTGTTTGCACAGTACGCCTTCTTAGTGACTGTGAAGCGCAGCCAGAATGTGGCCTCCAGTGATACTGTACTCACCAGCCTATTCTGTACTTGGGCAGAGCAACGAACTCCAATGACATTAGGCTGAAATCTTCCCCTGGTAGTTTATCAGCCCTGGTTTTATTCTTGGGACCACCACCAACAGAGCCTAATCTGTCTCCAGGCTCAACACCTCAATTCTTTCAAGTAACCTACATATGACATGTTTCAAGCCTGATTTATCCTAAATGTGTCCACATCTTTTGATTTACATATCATGTCCAGAAAAGAACACAATCCTCACTTATAATACAATGGGGATATTCCTTCATTACATTACATTCTGTTCATCAACACAGCTTAAGTGTGCCTTTTACTAAAATGTGCCCGCATCACGTTATGCTTACTTTTTAAAACTTATTAAAATAACTTATTTGGAATAATTACTCTGGACTACACTTACTTTGAAATAATTTAATTCACACAGAAGTTGCAAATACAGTATGGAGAGTCCCCACATCCCCCTCACAGAGTTTATTTTCCCGATGTTAACATGGACAGTGCCATAGTCAATTTACTCAAACCCCAAATCAGCTTACTGCTTGATTTTTAAAATTATATGTTTTCATACAACTTACTTTCCTGAGCCACACTGCTTTCTTTATGAACAGATTTTTGGCTTTCCTTTTGTTTTATGACATGACACAAGTATAGGCCCTTACATTTCATCTTTTAAGATTCAGGGCAAGATCTCATCTTGTAAGATTCTGACTAAAAGACTCAGGCTTTGAGTTCTTGCAGAATGAAATGTAATGCTCTAGTCTATCCTTGTTCAGATTTTTCAGGTCTTATACTATGTGTCAAGGTCCACTTAGACACCTCCACTATTGCCACAAAATTTATGCCAACACACATTTGGTAAGCCTTGTATCCAATTCAAGAGGCCTAGGCTTGGGGTTATGTAAACGTCTCTTGGGCTGCATTAAGTAACCACTGATGCATACTGTCAATGAATTACACATCCAAACAATTATCTGTACATCAGTGATATTTTTCATGCAAAGATACTTCCTGCTTCAGATACGTTTCCACATTTTTCTTTTTTATTAGTCTAATTATATGTTTACATGTTCTGCTTTTTCAACTGAAAGGCTTAGAGTATCTGCACAATAAAAGGAATCCATTTGTCAAATGACTCTGAAATGCTTAGGAAAAAAGGGAATTCTTTAAGCTTAATATCCACTGACAACTCACTGAAGCAGTTAATGACTGTGTGTGAAAGTGGTGTTCATAGGAAATCCATAGAGAATTCCTGATGAGTCACAAACGAAAATCAGAACAAACAGCCAGGTGGTATTGGTGGTATTATTCCTTGAGGAAGAAAAGAATTCAATTTATCCTCTTGAAATTAGTTACAGGCCTTAATTATTATAAAGCTCAGGGAACAAAAAATGGCACAGGATAGCAATTTCCTACTAGAAATACCGATTAAAAAGGTTAATTTAGACATGTGGACCCAAAGATAGCTATACTCAGGCATATCAATCACTGCCAGGAGATTTTTCTAAACAGTTTACTTCTCCTCAAAAGATGTGAATAATTTCCAATTCTGTTTATCTCTCAAAAGCAGGCTGTGGAATTAGAACTGTTAAATTGCAAAGTAAAATTGACAATGCTTTCTGGAAAGTTGCAAACTCACAGCCTTCCTAGCATACCACTGAGTTTCTTAAAATGGAAAAGCCATTAAAAGAAAACTTTAAGAAAAGGATCAAAGTGACAAAAACAAAGCTCTTTTCACTTACCTCATAGTAACTCCTAACTGCATTGCAAAACGCCTCATCAGCCACGATTTGGGTTTCTCCATTGAGGAAGGCCAGGAACCGTTCTTTCAGTAGCTGCAACTGTTGCTTGTTAAGCTGTAAGAAAAAAGGGGGAGTTAGTTGAGAAATTAACCAATCCATGAAATGTAATGATTCTGAAAAGTTATATTTGCTAGATGTGTATCTATCTGCTATAAGCTGTTGCTAGATGTGACACTTAGAATTAACTTCATTGTAAAGAAAAATAAAAGCTGCTAAAACATCCTACTACTTATACTATGGCTCAATTTTAAAATGTTTCCAAGTCACTTCCCCACATTCTCTAAAATCCTAATACTGCGATGGCATACAAACTTCTGTCCCAGATGGAATTCCTGCATTCAGGGACTCAGTCTCTGTGTGCACAGATAGGAAAAATCTAGAACTGATGAAAAATTAAATGTTGTGCAAAACTGCCGAGAGGACAAGCACTCCTGGAGATGAGTAAGCAACAGCTTTAGAGAAAGGCAACAGGAAGGAAGCCTCCAAAGGACAGCGTGGCCCTGAGTAAGAATCCTCTGGAATGGACATTTCGGAGACGCCCAAAGTTTGGATTCCATGAACAAATATACCACAATGCCTGAGTTGAGATAAACAAAGGAAAAAGGAGAAGGAGACAAATCCTAAAGAGAAAAGAGGCAACAGGGGAACAGCATGTTGGGGCAAGAACAGTGAGCCAGGAAGAGGAGCACATGTTTACACCCAGATTTCCTCACCCTGGGCCCTGCTGCCATAATCACTGGGAATGAGCTGGATGTGAATGAAGAGGAATCAACCATGCCCTCTAGTCATCCACTGCGGACAGAGGCAGCGACCCAATTTGTAGGGCTCAGTGCAAAATGACAATGAGAAGGCACTTGTTAAATTAAGAATTTTGAGAGAGCAGAGCACGGGTCCTTCCTAGCACGGAGCCCTGTGCAGCTGCATGAATCAGCCAGCCCTGACTGCAGGGGCATCAACTTCCCCAGATGGAGCGCCTAGAAGGCCGCGCAGCAGCCTTTTCTAGTTAGTGTTTAGAGAGAGAGAACAACATAGTTTTGCAAATGAAACAACAAATCCCAAAATACATAAGGAACAGGAATCCTCGTCAGACTATTAAAGAACTCCATCCGGTTCTGGACTCTACAGAGAGACGTGAAGCATTTGGAAAGAGGCTGAGGATAAAATGATTAAAGGATTAGAAAGACTAAACAAACTGGTATGACTTGGAATTGGAAAGAAGGATGAAATGAGTTTAAATCTGTTCAAACGGCTTATTAAAATGCCATTCAAATACGAGAGACAAACTCTTTCAAAAAATGGATTTTATTTAGGAATCTCACAAGAGAGTTCATAAAGAAACTGTTGCTGGGAGTAACCGGCTGATGCGGTGCCTTACTGTACTCCAGTGTAAAAAACCTCCTGCCCTGAGCAGTGAAGAGGGAAGGCCATTTCATTTCTCTACTAAGGTCATCTTCATTTCAGAGAAAAATAAACCAAACTCAAAGGCAGAAAACAACCATTACATTACAGTCTCTGTTGCTAAAATATGAGGAGTGTGGAAGCAGGGACCCTGTCCTAGCCAAACGAATGGAGTCCATGACTTTAGCTCTCTAAGCACTGTTCACAAAAGGGACCAGATGGAAACAGGATAGCAACTGCTGAGAGTGAGAGAGCTGAGAGCACTTCAGTTGCCAAGGCCCGGGAAGTGCCAAGAAGGCCTTCAACTTGCAAACCAGGTGTCCAGGTAAAATAATGGAACTGTGTGTGGGAATGACAGTGAAGTGGAGGAGACCTTAATGAGCCTTTGTCCTGTCTCCTTCACTTGATTAAAAGAATTGAGTATTATTCGAAAAACAGATCACAAACGAAAATCAGAACAAACAGCCAGGTGGTATTGGTGGTATTATTCCTTGAGGAAGAAAAGAATTCAATTTATCCTCTTGAAATTAGTTACAGGCCTTAATTATTATAAAGCTCAGGGAACAAAAATGGCACAGGATAGCAATTTCCTACTAGAAATACCGATTAAAAAGGTTAATTTAGACATGTGGACCCAAAGATAGCTATACTCAGGCATATCAATCACTGCCAGGAGATTTTTCTAAACAGTTTACTTCTCCTCAAAAGATGTGAATAATTTCCAATTCTGTTTATCTCTCAAAAGCAGGCTGTGGAATTAGAACTGTTAAATTGCAAAGTAAAATTGACAATGCTTTCTGGAAAGTTGCAAACTCACAGCCTTCCTAGCATACCACTGAGTTTCTTAAAATGGAAAAGCCATTAAAAGAAAACTTTAAGAAAAGGATCAAAGTGACAAAAACAAAGCTCTTTTCACTTACCTCATAGTAACTCCTAACTGCATTGCAAAACGCCTCATCAGCCACGATTTGGGTTTCTCCATTGAGGAAGGCCAGGAACCGTTCTTTCAGTAGCTGCAACTGTTGCTTGTTAAGCTGTAAGAAAAAAGGGGGAGTTAGTTGAGAAATTAACCAATCCATGAAATGTAATGATTCTGAAAAGTTATATTTGCTAGATGTGTATCTATCTGCTATAAGCTGTTGCTAGATGTGACACTTAGAATTAACTTCATTGTAAAGAAAAATAAAAGCTGCTAAAACATCCTACTACTTATACTATGGCTCAATTTTAAAATGTTTCCAAGTCACTTCCCCACATTCTCTAAAATCCTAATACTGCGATGGCATACAAACTTCTGTCCCAGATGGAATTCCTGCATTCAGGGACTCAGTCTCTGTGTGCACAGATAGGAAAAATCTAGAACTGATGAAAAATTAAATGTTGTGCAAAACTGCCAAGAGGACAAGCACTCCTGGAGATGAGTAAGCAACAGCTTTAGAGAAAGGCAACAGGAAGGAAGCCTACAAAGGACAGCGTGGCCCTGAGTAAGAATCCTCTGGAATGGACATTTCGGAGACGCCCAAAGTTTGGATTCCATGAACAAATATACCACAATGCCTGAGTTGAGATAAACAAAGGAAAAAGGAGAAGGAGACAAATCCTAAAGAGAAAAGAGGCAACAGGGGAACAGCATGTTGGGGCAAGAACAGTGAGCCAGGAAGAGGAGCACATGTTTACACCCAGATTTCCTCACCCTGGGCCCTGCTGCCATAATCACTGGGAATGAGCTGGATGTGAATGAAGAGGAATCAACCATGCCCTCTAGTCATCCACTGCGGACAGAGGCAGCGACCCAATTTGTAGGGCTCAGTGCAAAATGACAATGAGAAGGCACTTGTTAAATTAAGAATTTTGAGAGAGCAGAGCACGGGTCCTTCCTAGCACGGAGCCCTGTGCAGCTGCATGAATCAGCCAGCCCTGACTGCAGGGGCATCAACTTCCCCAGATGGAGCGCCTAGAAGGCCGCGCAGCAGCCTTTTCTAGTTAGTGTTTAGAGAGAGAGAACAACATAGTTTTGCAAATGAAACAACAAATCCCAAAATACATAAGGAACAGGAATCCTCGTCAGACTATTAAAGAACTCCATCCGGTTCTGGACTCTACAGAGAGACGTGAAGCATTTGGAAAGAGGCTGAGGATAAAATGATTAAAGGATTAGAAAGACTAAACAAACTGGTATGACTTGGAATTGGAAAGAAGGATGAAATGAGTTTAAATCTGTTCAAACGGCTTATTAAAATGCCATTCAAATACGAGAGACAAACTCTTTCAAAAAATGGATTTTATTTAGGAATCTCACAAGAGAGTTCATAAAGAAACTGTTGCTGGGAGTAACCGGCTGATGCGGTGCCTTACTGTACTCCAGTGTAAAAAACCTCCTGCCCTGAGCAGTGAAGAGGGAAGGCCATTTCATTTCTCTACTAAGGTCATCTTCATTTCAGAGAAAAATAAACCAAACTCAAAGGCAGAAAACAACCATTACATTACAGTCTCTGTTGCTAAAATATGAGGAGTGTGGAAGCAGGGACCCTGTCCTAGCCAAACGAATGGAGTCCATGACTTTAGCTCTCTAAGCACTGTTCACAAAAGGGACCAGATGGAAACAGGATAGCAACTGCTGAGAGTGAGAGAGCTGAGAGCACTTCAGTTGCCAAGGCCCGGGAAGTGCCAAGAAGGCCTTCAACTTGCAAACCAGGTGTCCAGGTAAAATAATGGAACTGTGTGTGGGAATGACAGTGAAGTGGAGGAGACCTTAATGAGCCTTTGTCCTGTCTCCTTCACTTGATTAAAAGAATTGAGTATTATTCGAAAAACAGAACCTATGATTTTCTCCAATTTTCTTTTATCAGATGCATTTTGTTCTTTCAAAATTTTCCTCTAAATTCTCCCAATTTCTAGTTATGGTTTGGCCATCGTATCAGTGAGTTACTGTTTGATGATTATGGCACAGAAAATGCATGAGTATGAATCAAAGAAAGGAGATTTGAGCACACCCTCTCCTTGAAAACTACAACAATGTTGGTATAGTTCACCAAAGATGCCAGAGGCACCTGGCTAAATATTATGCTTCAACTTTTTTTTATGAATAAAAATCACTGCAGTTACATTTAACACATAAAATGATATAGCCAGGATTATAGTGATTTTGTGTATACAAAAAGTTAAAAGATGGATACTTTATTAGTAAAGAGGTCTACGTTTCCAGGTAAAGGGGGAAAAAAAAGGAAATCAAATTTAAAATCTAGCATTCAGGATAGCTGTTTAGAAAGAACAGTTTCCTAAAATCTATTTGCATTATCAAAATAAATTATATCATGTATCAACAGAAAGACCAATGGAACAGACCCAAGAAGTAGATTCAAATACAATCAGAAAAGTACTTTGAAATGCCTTTATAGCAAATCAGTCATAAGAAATGGTCTATTCAATTAATGGTGTCAGAATAACTGGGGAGCCCTGCAGAAAAGTTAAATTGGACCATAATGCACATTGTTACAGTCCAAATACATTACAACTTTTAATGTAAAAAGATGAAACCAGAAAGGTACTAGAAGAAAAAAGGGAAAATTCCTTTAAACAAGGTATGAGAAAGACCTTTCTAACGGTAAATCAAAATCCACAAGTCATAAATTGCATAAACATAAAAAAATAAATTTTGCATGACAAGTACCATAAGCAAAATCACGAGAAAAAGACTAACAAAAAAACCTTGCATCTCATACCCTAAAGAGCTGATTTCCAAACACAGATTCTAAAAATAACCATAAGAATGTGACCAATAAGCCAACAGAAAAATGAACAAAATGGACATATTCAGAGAAAAGACTCTTAAGCTATTAAAGCATGCATAACTTCATCTGTAAGGCAAATGAAAATTAAATCTACAAGATAGAGCAAGGATTCTAGGCAGATGGAGTAGGAAGCACCAGAAATCTGTCTCCCACCTAGACAGCAAGTGCACTGGCAGGATATGTTTGATGTAAATGTTTGGAACTCCGCAGTCTACTAAAGGCTTGAAACTTACAGGGGAAGGTTTGAATGTAAATTGCAGTTACTTTTTGGTCAATTTCAGCTCTTAGCACAAGGGCAGTTACTCACCTCCCACCCCCAAGACTTATGGCAGACAAAAAATAGCAACCACCTAAATTTTCGTAAACAGAAGGCTAATAATGCTACATCCACAGAGCAGTAAAACTAGTAAGTTCTATAAAAAAGAAGTTATCTGATGAAAATATCTGCAACATTCTAATCGATTTTATCTTTACAATATCCACACCAAGTCATCTCTCTGCCTCCATTTGAGCCTACTAAAATTAAAACACACCTTCACCCCTACTTTTATTACCTCACAATGAAGCTTATTCTCATTTTGGACACCTATGAAGAACTAAAACCTGCTTCCCTATATGACATCCACACAATCCTAGTTCTACAGCTTCTAAGACAAAATGGACTAAATGTTATTTTCCTTCTTCAGTATAGCAGTTCAACAGCTTGAAGACAAGTACTGGATTATTTAAGCATCTTCTCACTTCTAGGGTAACTTTGCCAGTTCCCCCAAATTCCTAAAAGTACAGTCCAGTTTGTCCATAAATTAAGCATTAATAGTTAAATAAAACTCAATTCTGTAAAACTGAGTATAAAAAAGCACTTAGAAAGCTATAATGTTATGCAAGCGAAACTCATTACAATAGCAATGACCCTCCTAAGATGTACAGGAAAGACTGATCATGATTCTAGGAAAATGTGGCCAACACAGAGACAAGTGGGAGCACCACCTCCCACATTCTAAGCACTCTGTCTATTAAATCAAACTAAAAACAAATTAACTCTTCTTGGCAGTCATATCAACTGACTCACATGATTATCAACAAAACTTTTCTAAAACCTTCTTACATTTGCTTCATTAAGCCATGTTTATCTTGCTAAATTTATTTGGTCCATTGTCCCAGTTGATTAAGATTTTGTTGGACCTCTAATTTATCCAGTGACCACAGAACTCTTCCAGCTCTATATTTATTAACATAATAAGGTGATAGCTATAGTCTTTATCCAGGTCATTACAAAAAAAAAAACAAACCTTTAGTTCAGGATTACGGAGTTAGGAAACCTGTCATTAAATGTATTCATCCAGTTTGACACAATTAACATCGTTTGTTTGTGACAGCTGATTTTTATTATTATTCATCCTGTATTTTAGTTTTGCCCACACACTGTCTTCACATTAGTGTATTTACCAATGAATGAATAAAATATTTTTCAAATGTAAAGAGAAATTTAACCAGTAGAAATTATCTAATAGGAATTTTTAAAGCTCTTTATATGAAACTAAATTGCAGAAATTTAACTAGAACACAAATATCCTTGCAAATATCTAAATATAACAAAGAGATTAGCCCTATAAACACAACATTTCATATACTGACAGTAAAAGCTAAGTTTCATAAATCCTGGCTGGCAGTCATAATTTATCTATAATAATTACCATAGGAAAAACACTTAATTTTCAGAGTTCAGAATTGGTTTATAGCTCTTCAGTGTTTGTTTTTCCCATGTTCAAATTAGATTCAAGCCTTTTCTAAGTCATGATCAAATGAATGAAGACTTATGCTAGCATCTTGACCACAACTGGAGACCAACCATTTATGCTTCTCAGAAACTCAGTGACTACTGGTGTGAAAAGCCTGCCCTGACCTATCGTCCCCAAGTCTGCCCTGCCCTGTGGTCCCCATCGGTTAGCCTAGACACTCATGGTGGTGGCTGTGTGACATCCTGGTGAGTAAAAGTGATCACAGGCTCCACGGCAACGTGTCAGGTGACTAGCAGGTACTGTACCCCCAGGATTCAAGGGTGCGGTATATGCATATACCTCAAAGAGTGGTAAAATGAAAAACATTTTTCAAGGAGGTAAAAGGACATAACTCCAGGCATAGATGGTCTCTGAAATGGACAACGCATGGCTTTAATGCCTGTCAATGAGAAATAGTAAAAAATATTAAACAGGAAAAGACTGAAGAATAGGTGGTCTTTTTAT